TCGATCCACTGTGCGGCGCGGCGAAGGAGCATTACGCCATCTGGGGCCTGCTACCGAGAACTGAGGAATTGAAGTGTCGCTTGGTAAAAGTTACACTGAGAGTCTCTTGACGAAGAGAGCATAAGGGTTCCTGCAACCAGGAATTTACGCGATGAAATTTTATTGCTTCATTTCTTTTTTTCTCGGACGAAGAGACGGAATTCCATTGTATATCGTCTCTCCTCCAAATCTTAACAGCAGAAAAAAGTTGTAAATAATACAGTGAATTCAGCTCATCAAGTCCTCTCAAATGGATTACGTTTCAATCAGGAACTATAATCTCTCACTCATCCAGAGACGAACTTTTGTATATAGGGAAACTAATTTTTTATAATACACCGTCTCTGAACTGAGCCAGATGTTATGGCTCCAAATTGGAAAATGTAGTCCAAATAAAGCAATAAATGGTCTTTTATCACGGAAAAAGAGGTAGGGGCTGAGTCCCAACTGCTCGATGATACGGACATTTCCAATTAATTGTGCTAGTAACCCGAATAATCGTGGTAGTACCCCAATAAATTAGATTACTAACCCAAATTTTGCGGTAAGTTTTACCTTAATTTGAATTGTGGTACTACCACAATTTATTGAAATAGTCTTCATGCACGCTGGGCTTGTCGATTTCTTTTGACATTTTTGCAGTGGTGAATGCATAGCTGAAGTGCGCTTCAGCTAGAATTGTATCTAGCAAATGGGTTGTCGACTTTCTTTGACATTTTTGCAGTGGTGAATGCGTAGCTGAAGTGCGCTCCAGATAGAATTGTATTTAGCAAATGGGTGGTTTTTATACGAGGATTAAAAATAAACAAGTAGTACGGAATATAACAAAAGAATATGAACTATGCAAAAAGATAATCCGGGTATCGGAACTTGGCTGTTTTGAAAACGCCTTCAAATGCGGCGTGATACCTCACGCATTCCGGAGAGTTCAAATAGTTGTATCATTGCGCCTTAGACATGCGACGGAAGATTACAATCGAAATAGCCTTATACACGCTGGCTTTGTCGATTCCCTTTGACATTTTTGCAGTGGTGAATGCGTAGCTAAAATGCGCTCCAGCCAGAAGTGTATTCAGCAAATGAGTAGTTTTTATAGGAGGATTGAAAACAAACAAATGGTAGGAAATAAAACATAATAATAGGAACTATGCAAAACAATAATCCGGATAGCGGAACTTGGCTGTTTTGAAAACGCCTTCAAATGCGGCGTGATACCTCACGCATTCCGGAGAGTTCAAATAGATGTATCATTGCGCCTTAGGAATGCCGACGGAAGATTATAATTATTAATTAGAAATGTCCATATCATCCAAAACCTTTGAGTCGTGCCACAATTTTAGGGATAACCCCCAACACTTTTTTTCTCCATGATAAATTCTCCAATCAGTAACAATCTAGGAAATGTTTTTGTCTGCTCACTCAATAGTTTTTATTTGTAAATGAATTTATGAGGGTCATCTCAATTAAGGTGTCGTCACATTTTTGGACCGTGGAAGGAACTCTTATCCGATTCTTCTGTACCCCTCCCCAAAATTACTGGCTTAATCCATAGACGACTCCTCAGATGCGTTTATAAGTAGGTATAGAATTAATTGAGACTTGATAATGAGAGCACCATAAATTTTAGCTCATTTCGGTTTTAGTACAGTTTTAGTTAAAACAAGTTATCAAACTGATTGCTGTAGACGCACGAATCGTAAGGTAGTAAGTTGGAATTTTTAACGTTCCGTTTCATTTGGCTAAAAAATTCCAACTTGCTGAAAATAAATTTATAAAACTTGCACGATCTTGAAGACACCTCGATGAATATTAGAATATATCCGGAGCACAGTCCACAGTGACAGGGTTTCTATCATTCCTTCTCAGCCCCGTTCATCCCTGCTGTGAAGCGACCCCGTTCACATTTCGACCCTCCCCTGACTTTTTTTTTGTCGGAGGATGTGCAAAAACCAGCCGGGCTGTTTTGTCGTGAGAAGTGGGCATAAAATTCCCGCTGTGAGATAATGTGTTATCATGAGTTAGCAGTGCGAGGATAAGCTTTGAGTACCTTCCACCTTTAGGTCTCGTGCTTGGAGTCCATTCAAACAATGAGCAGCTTAGCTACTCCTAGACGCCCCGCTACATTGTGCGCACCTTTTGTAGAAATATTTTTATATCCTAGTGCTTTACGGAGCTATAAAGTGCGAATAATACGCTAGAAAGTTTTATAGTAAACGCTAGCCTGGCCGCACTGCAGCTGTCGGCACGCTCTGATTACTGTGACCTATAATTGGACATTTTTAACCTTTTCACACCAAAGATAATAGCTTGCGTATCGTCAGTATGAGTGATATGAGTGAACACGTTTCACTGAGCCACATACTGCCGTGCAACGCAAAAACGCCGTAAACGCCAGTTTACATTTTTTGGAAACAATGTATCATAGCAGGAAAACTTATGTACCTTGGGACAATGTTTTTGAAGACTTTTTTCGGAAATACTATTAAGAACTTAACCTGAAAATTTTGAGGTGCACGGGTAAAACAGTATTTATTTTATCCAGTGTTAAGTTCCAAAAAACGAGGGAAAATCTTGATGGATTTACGGCGCTCTTGCTGAGCACGGTAGCACAGTACTGCCGTTCAACGCAAAAATGCCGTAAATCCATTCCAGATTTTAAAATCCTTCTTCAGACAAAATGCTGCGGTTTTTGGTTTCGGTTTTTGGACGCTATATAGACTCCGGCACAGAATTTCACTCTAAAATTTTTGACAGTGTATTTCTATGCAAAACGGCATGGCGATACCGCGAGACAAGTGGTAAGAAAAAACAGCGAAATATAATATAATCATGGCTAAAATAAGCTATCTAAAAAGCCTTCGCGAGGTCACGACGCCCTCCCTTTTCTAGAATGGGATGTTCTTAAGAATGTGCTTACGCGGTGACTGAAAAGTAGATGGCTTGAAAATTCGACCATTAACCCTTGAAAACACGCTGCAATGGGCCTGTTCCAAACTTCAGCTGAAGCGAAAAGAGGAGTTGGTTTTTTTTTAGAAGATAGTCTAAAAATCACAGTGAGCGCATCGGAAAATTCTTAAATACACTCCTAACTTCAAAATCTGCGTAAAAAATATGCGTATTTCCAAGCTCCCGGCTTCAAAAGGATACTGTAGAACAGGTGAATATTTTGTAGGAGGAGTCATTCCATCCTACCCTTCCGTAGGAGGATGCTATGCAAATATTTAATTTGAAAAAAAAAACTCATATTTTAAACGGAGATTGTGAAGTTAGGAGCGTATTAAAAATTTTCCTCAGCGCTTTTCGTGATTTTTGAGCCATTTTCCGCAGGAAACAATACTCTCGCTTTTGCTCAAGCTGAAGTTTGCAACAGGCCCCTTAAAAATTAGAGCACGAAGAAAAAGACCCGAATGGCACAATGCCGTTTTGCCATCGACCTCCTCAATTGTTTTCGAAGCACCTTTTTTTCCCTTTGTTTCTCAAATGTTTGTACCGCTGCTCTTTTAATTTATCGAGGAAACACTCAGTTGCGCAACGAAGTTCATGAAGTAAACTTTCACATTCAGGCGTTTATCGGAGAAGTAATCTACTCGCGGCAAGTCAAGAGGCCTGCTCGGCACTGAGAGAACGGGCGAGGCGGAACTTCACAGAGAATATAGTGGCGCTTAAGACAGAGAAATTAAAGTTGGCTCTCGCCAATTTGCCAGGGTTGTCGTGAAGTTAGGGTGAACATTCCTTCTGCGAAATGAATACGGCGATCGTTTCCGCGAAAAGGGGCCTTATTTCGTGAGTGCAAAGTTTTAAGGAGAAGGATTATCAGCCAGCACGGTTGATATTAAATTTACAAGTCATCTCGGGCGATTTTCCGTACGTTTCGCGCTTATCAAATTACTGCGGAGAGTTTTCAATTTTCATAATTGATTAATACCCTCAAATCATTGACTTAAGTAAGGCGCGAGGGCTTTTCTTTTATTTCCTCAGCATCGCAGTTCTCCTGAAAAATTCTAAACTTAGGAAGGGCACAGCAGTTATTTTAAAGCGCAGGATTAGATACAAAATATCTCAGAGATTGGCTACCTTAGCCATTTCAAGCTTACAGTTTACAATTTTGTTTGAAAAGGATATAAAGACCTCGCATGACTAACTTGCGACCCCTGCTTTCTCGTGTGCTGCAACAAGCAGAACTCTCCTCTATCGCTAGCGAGTTTAAAAATCTAGCCACTGGTGTGAGCTAAGTTTTTTTCAAGAATATTATCTGAGTAGGGTCCAAAATAATTCCGAATCTTATGAAGCATGGCGTTTTTTTTTCTTTTTTCTCTTCCCCCTCTGCTGTTTTATTTTCCTAAATTTGATGTTTCTTTTTTCAATTTTAAGTCACTTCAATTTGGACGTATTTCTGTCAAACGGAACTAAGCGCCATAGGGGGAGGAAGGTAGAGGCGGCCTTTGATTGGCGGCGGAACCGGGCGTTGGGCTCATTCCGTCCTATGCTCGCAATGCTTTTCCATGGCGCTTAGTTCCGTTTGACAGAAATACGTCCATTTGATATATGGAGCGGAGGTAAATAACCGTATTTATCAAAAGGGTCTTTTCTCTAAACTCCTTTAATTCTTGTTTTTCTTTCGGTTTTTCCACATCAATAATTAACCATTAATTAATTTATTTATTTATTTACAAAGCTAATATTTGCTTTGGAGCCATACTGCTTATAAACTAGCGCTATTTATCTATTTAATCATCTGCCTATCGATTTATTGATTAATTTATTTTATGGAAATGTGCATGTGCATCTAATACTTTACCAAAGCATCGCCAACCGTGTTCTAAGCAATGCAATTAAATTTAATCATATTAATTCATCGGGACAAATGGTTGATGAAACTGGTAAAAAATAAGGGCTTTCCAAAAGTACTTTACGTAGAACTAGCATATTTTCTACATAACTTCGTTTATTTTTATTTCCAGGAGTAAAAGTCGCAGTGTTGACCATGGCTTTTCACCACCATTCGACATCAAAGTCTTGCGCAACAAGGTCGAAGAGCGATTTGAAAGCGTTGACAGACTTCGCAGAGGTACGTTTTTCCCATTATTCTTTGCATCAACGATTTTGCAGATTTTTTTCTCTCTTCGAAGGTGTACCCCATCGATTGTTACATAATGCAATCAGCTCTCAACGAAAGCGCCTTCATTTTTGGCGAAAAACAGGACACGCAACTATTTTGACACAAGGGATGGTATTTGGCCTATCCGAGCAAAATGAAGGCGTGTCTGATGACAGTGAAACACAACGAGTGAAGACACGAAGACCATTTCTTTTCAATCGGGCGAGGACCTGTTCCCTAAAGGAAAAACTGTTAGATGGGAAATTCAATATTATTGATTTTTTCTTCCTTTCAATGAACTATCAATCGGCACTTCACTGATTATTATATCTTAACCACAAGGGAAGAACTATAAAGGGAGAACGCGACTTAACTTCAAGTACCCCCCAAAACTTTATTTTTTTAAGAACTTCAAGACGTCACAGACCCGGTTTGATTCGACATATTTGGCGTTTTTGTGCCAAAATATTCGTAATACACTTCTCAAAGCATTTTTACCAACACCCCAATTTTTTTGGATTTGTTTTGAATTCCGATCCTGAAATTAGAAAAGACTATATAATAAGGCTCGTGGAAATACTTCTAGTTATCACCAATACCGGAATGACCTATCTACGGTTTCAGCTCGGCTGAGTACTTGTTTTCCAAGGGTACGACCTCCATCGATACTGGACATAAACTCGACAATTGAACAGATCTCATTAATATCGCTAATTAAGAAGTTCCGAACATTAAAACACGACTACATGACATGCGCAACTAACACATTGTTCCTCCCTCGATGTAGTATGGAGGGTGGGGGAAAGGGAGGGTTCTCGGAAGGTCCGAGCTGGAGCTAGAGTTTGATGCAAATAAGAGACTCTGTTTGCATTGCAAGTCTTCCCATAGCTAGTGTTGCCACGGTTTCCTATATATATACGTCTAAAAACTAATTTCTGTAGTCAAGTTGAGAGTCCGGCCGATCTGCCTGAAATTTATAGTTCGTTCTATCGATGCTTGATGTTTGGACGAAGCGTAGTTCTGGCATGTCTGGTCTACTTCGTAAACAACGCATGTGCCATCAATTTTCCTACACTGATAGGAGGATCTTAAACACAGGTGAATATCAGAGAGGGAAGGCTAAAATTACTGAAAACAACTCCTAACGAAGACATTAACGTTTTTATTTCACATTGGTTACGAGGAATTTTAACTGCCCGCTCACAAGAAACTCAAAGCTCTACGTGAGTCAAATCGCGCCTCACAACAGTTTCAACAAGCTTCTCAATCGAGTAATGTTCATTTCCTACCATGTGTTGTTCAAACTATAAGAAATTTGCTACATCCGAGCCAAAGCGTCAAGATTGAGGTTGCCAGATTTTTATATCGCAGAGACTGCCATGATAACGTTTAGCGCATGACGTGAATCACGTAGAGTATTAAGTTTTCCTGAGCAGGTGGTTTGAATTCACGCATCAAGAATCATTAAATATCTTCGTAAAGAGTTGATTTCGGTAATTTTCGTTGTGCGCGTCGTATTCTGCGTGAAATTTTGGTTATGAAGCAAATATCAGAATGCTGAAATACGTACCTTGTCTAGTGGTCCATTTCGGTTGGTTTCATTTTGGACCCAGCGTTATTCTTAAGGACTCTGGGGCGGATTAGCCAATAGCCTGTATGGATTTTCCGGGAAAATGGAAGTCGAGGAAAAGCGGCAGCAGGGTGTGTTGCTGTTTTCTTAAAATGTTGCGCGGAGTGAGGGTCGAGGAAACCTCTCAAAGTCTCCACCGCCGGAGCAATTACAGTCCTCAAGAATGTTCACTCACGACCGCCAGCCCCGGCCGCGCGCCATTAGTTCCCACGCCAACCGCACCAGCAATATATCGATTGATCTGCCATTTAAACCTATGGAAAAGGATCGATAGACTGGGTGTTCGCAACGAACGCCTTACTTATCGATTCTTAATCATAGCTTCAAATGGGGAAAAATCGATAGTCGATTTGCGCCTCGCTTCCGAACCGCAGAGCTTTTTCTACGCTTTCCCGACGAACCGCCGAAAAGCTCCCGGCCATCCTGCCGCGCTGGGGAAGAACGCCGTATGAGCCATTAGACGCTGCCAAATTTCCTTCGATAATATACGAATTTTCGAGGAATCTTTCGGATATTTCGCTTTCAATTTTTCAGGGAATTTTATTCTGGATATGATCTAAAATTTGTGGAAATTTCAAAGAAAAATACTCGTGACCTTCTTCAAAATTTGATGTTTTACTAGGAAAAATTTAGCAACTCCTGAAGGCTCACACGACGTTTTTCCGTAGCACGGCAGCATTGGGCACAGGGCACTCGCCCGAGGAGCCGTTCAACGTAAATTGAGGCTCACACAACTAACAACTCGCACCGGAAAAGGTTGAAATGTTCCAACTGGTCTGGTCGTTTGCGGTCACGATTATTGCGCATCCTTTTCGTAAACCGAGCTTAGCTTCAGCAGGAAGGAATCAAGTACATGGGCGCGTTTATGAAGAAAATAGAGGCGATACAATTTGAACCCGCATTAACAATTTAAGGACCTAATCGAGTGAGGCAAAAGTTTTTGGAGGTCAACACTGTTTCTCGCCTAATGATGGTTGATAAACAACATGTTGGACAAAAAATCGAATGAAAGTCGCCTAATAATGAAAATTGAAGCATTTTGTTACTCGAGTTCTTTCAAATTAGGCTCGGATAGCTTCATTGTTTGTTTGTTTGACTGACCTAGCACCATTGTGCATATGAACAACCACTATCAAACGAGAAGGATCATCGTTAAATCTATTAGAATGTTCATACGGCATTTTTCCTTAACACGGCAGTGTAGCTCCTAATTGCAAAATGTAGTCGAATTTAGGCAGCGCTGTAAAGCTGTTACATAGTCTCTACAAAAAGCGGTCCAATCCTTGAACCTTACTCTATTACTGCCGTGCGAATGAAAAACGCCGTATGAACCTTCAGGCGTTGCCAAATTTCCTTCAATATAACACGAATTTCCTGGTTAACTAACGAATAATTTCCTTCAAATTTTTCAGACAATTTTATTCGCAATTTCACCCAAAGTTCCAGAAAATTTTAAGGATAAATATCCTTTACTCACCTCAGAAATTAACATTTTATCGAAGGAAATTTGGCAACTCTCGAGTGTTCATTCGGCGTTCTTCCTTAGCAAGGCAGTATAGAAGTTCTACTTCACATACGGCTCATTTACCAATTATTCAACGAAAACGACTCACTTCCGATCCCGGCCCGCCTCCACGGAGAGGAGGGGTACAAGGAAATTAGAATGGCGATAGCGCTTGCCTGACCGGTTGCCTACCCGGAGAAATGAAGGGGAAATAAAGGATTAGGAGCCGCGGGGGCCGAGATTCCCCGGAATCCCGGAAACCCCGGGCGATTTTTTTGTTCGGGGAGTAAACCGAAAGCGGTCGCACATATCCACCCCCCCTCCCCACCTCATGCCGTGCGCTCCTTCCACCCTCGCCCACACCACACCCCCTCCCCCACCCCCTTCCCGTGTGCTCTTGGAGCGCCTCTTCTCACGGCAGCGTTCACAGTGAAGTGTTTTATCGAATTTTATTGAGCCAGACTGACCTGAATTCGGCAATTTCTCCTCGTCATCTCATCATTTTAAGGTCACGGTCGCCCAGGATCGGCGCACGGTGGATCGAGTCAATGGGGGAGGTCGGCTGAAATTTGGAAACTTTAAACGCTTATAACTCCGTTCATACAAAACTTTGAGGTTCTGAAAGTGGCCTCAGTAGTCCCTCGTGAAATTTTCTGCTAATTGCACCCCTTGAAATTAAAAATGTGACGAAATATACATCAAAATTTGCAATTTTTGTGAAAAATGTCATGTCCGACTTCCTCTGTTGATTCGTTCCACTGTGCGGCTCACAGTGGATTGAGTAAATAGGAGAGGTCCGACAAAATGTGGAAATTTTAAACGATTATAAGTCAGTTTATACAAAATTTTGAAGTACTAAAAGTGGCTCCATTGGTTTTTACGTAAAATTTTCCTCAAGAAGCACCCCTTGAAGTTCAGATTGTGACGAAATAAACATCAAAATTTGCAGATTTAGTCAAAAATTTCAAGTCCGATCCCTCTGATTGACTCGAGCCATTGTGCGGCTCCCAGAGGATGGAGTCAATAGGAGAGGTCGGACAAAATTTGGTAATTTTAAACGATTATAACTCAGTTTTTACACAACTTTGAAGTACTGAAGGTGGTTCCATTGTTTTTCTCGTAAAATTTTCATCAAGAACCACCCCCTGAACTTTAAAATGTGACGAAATAAACATCAAAATTTGCAGATTTAGTCAAAAATTTCATGTCCGACCTCTCTGGTTGACTCAAGCCACTGTGCGGCGTTATCGTTCGGTAGGCTTGTTCCGCTTGTTCGCTTCCTTCCCAGTATTACGTTACATAATTAGGGGGAGGGGGGAGGGGGTTTTGGAGTCTGCGTTACGCTTAATTATGAGGGGAACCGTGATCAAGTTCAACGCTATGCAACGCTCTGAATCCGCAGACTTGCGTTATTTTTCGGGCTGAATCATCTCTATCCAGGCAGAGGGGCCAGGAATTCCGAATTTCGGCATAGCGTAATTATTGAACGAACCCCCAAGTTTATATTAATTTAAATATGAATTTCCTGCAGATGCACAGTGGATCGAGCCAATAGAGGAAGTCGGACAAAATTTCAATTATACGGCAGTAGCAATTTTAAACTAGCATATCTACGAATAATACAAGAAAAACACATGAAAACACTGTTAAATCACCTTTCGCCTTTATCACAGGAGGATGTAAGATGTGCTTAACCTCAAATTTGCTTGCTGAAGACAGACATTTTGTTTGTTTATTTACGGCCGTAAGAACATCGTGTCAGCCTATTTTCTCGCGACCAATGAAAAACCGGCACAGAAATGGCCATACTCCGTCCAGAAAAGTACTCTACTTGCA